AATCAAATATCTTATTATGAAATAATAAATTAAATAAATAAAGAACTGAAATTAATATAATATAATATAATATATTATTTATCAAATAATTTTAATATGATTTACTCTTAATAATATATTACTATTTAATATAAAAATAAAATAATAAATTCATTTTAATAAATTAATAATATAAATGTAAAATAAATTGTAGTATAAAATTTCAATATACGTTTCAATGAATTGACGTAATATAATCTGTATAAATTATATTAAATATAATTTATAATAAAATTAAATGATTAATTTAAATGATTAAATTTATAATAAAATTAAATGATAAATTAAATTAAATTAAATTTGTAATAAAATTAAATGATACTTATATATATAATATATTATTAAAGTATAATTTTAAAAATAAAATAATTTTTTTATTAAATAGCTATATATGATTCGTATTTATTTATTTTAATTATTTTTATACTATTTAATATTTTTTAAAATCTTTTATAAATATATAGATTTACTTAATTATAATATTATTTATTATTTAGCTACAATTTTTTATATTTATTTATATTTTTTTAATTTTTTTTTCGTTTAACATAATAAATTATTTAAATTTATTTTTTCGTTTAATTTTATATAATTTAGTTTATTATATTTGAATTATCATAACGTTTTATTTTAATAATTTAATTTAATATAATTTATATATTCTTAATTTAATTTCACTTATCCATAACAATGTCCATATATATCAAACATTCATAGTTCTAAATTTCAACCTTGAGTGGTGTAGTGGTTTCATTGCTTGTCTTGCTTCCATGAGGTAACAAGTTCGAATCCTAAGGATTGCAATTTTTTTGAATTCAATTTCTCGCGATATATTCAATATATCGTAAATATATGTAAAATATTCAGAGGGTATAACGGAACGTTTGAAGAAAAACTAACGCCGTTAACGGAGAAATAGAGACAAGGGAGCGTATGCACCTGAAACCTTAATAGAAGGGGGTTTGACGCAATTTTTAAAATACAGGGGGGAAACGCGCAGATTTAGTATAATACAGGGGGGTTTGGTGCATTAAACCCTATGAATAAGTGTCATAACTTCCATAACACTTTTAAAAGGAGTGTTTTGTGTTTTTACCAAGGTTGTCAAAACCGGACCGGTCATCGAACCGGTCAAGCTACTGGTCCAACAGTGGTTGAACCGGTTGGACCGTTATTTAGTTTATTGATATTTTTTAATATACAGTATTTCATCGATATAGTTAACTTAATTTTTAAGTTATTTAATTTATTGATATTTTTAATATACAGTATTTCATCGATATAGTTAACTTAATTTTTAAGTTATTTAATTTATTGATATTTTAAATATATAATACTTTATAAATAATAAATATAGTTGATTTATTTTTTAAAAGGTTAGTCCCACCATATATTGATTAAGCAATAAAATGATAGGACAAAAATATGGAAAAAAAGAAATATTTCCTCACACTCCCACATTGGGCAATAAAATAATAAAAAATAAATATGGGATACGGGAAAAGAAATTCCTTCCACGTGTAGGTAAAAGGGAAAAGAAATTCCTTCCACGCGTGGCTTTCCCTTTACAATTGGAAATTTAGAAGTCTTATATTTTGTCCCACATCGATAATAAATATATATATATATATATATATATATATATATTTGAACCGATCGTTTTTTGGCCAGTTTTGACTGGTTTTACTGACAACCGGTTTCTTTCATAGAACCGAACGGGTGAACTGGCCAGTTCCCGGTTCAGTCGGTCGGACCGGCCGGTCCGGTCCGGTTTTGACAACCTTGGTTTTACTTTTCTTATAGTGCTTGTTAAATTAAGTGTTATCTAAATGTTGCGTGTTTCTTACCTTACACTTATCTAAACAAGTTGTAACGCCCTACTTTAATTTTTAAAAAAATCCATGGTTTTTCCATAAATCACAGTAATTTTTTGAAATTCATTTTTCAAATTCAACTTAAACCTGGGCATTATCAAAATATTTACAACATAGTTCAAGTCATATCTGAACTCACGAGGATTCATTACCCGATTTTTCACATGGACCTCATTATCCCAAAGCATATAACTCAACATGATATTCAAATAAACACATCAATCATGAATATCTAAATCAACATGTTTCAAAATCAAAGCGGAAGCAACATGTTCATAGAACTAAAGCGGAAGCAAATAACATAAATAGGAGACTAGCCACTCACCATCTTGCTGTCATGCTCGCCATTGCTCAACCTGGGAAAGAAAAGTGGGCATGAGCACAATTGGAATCTGTGGTGTTCACCACTATGCAATAAATCATATATAAAGACAGATAGGCATGGTCGCAGCATGAACACGAATCATTCAAATATCAAATCTCCTAATCATATACTATTACTCATGTGCACATCTATAAAAGCCACTGAAGGTCAAAACTGCACACAACAACGGGAGTAAATACCGAAGGACATACAGCTCACGTCGGCCTTGCCTATCATTAGGCTAAGGGAGACTGCCTATCATTAGGCACAATCGAAGGTCGAAACCGCACACGGCGACGGGGATAACCATTTCGAAGGTCGATACCACACACATCGAAGGTTACATGGTTCACATGCATACATTGACCAAACCATCCAACATTTATAAAGAATTTAAGGCATAGCAATTTCAAGTAACCCACCTGATCGACGACACAGGAAAAAGCATATTAAAGCTCGAATAGGTTGGTGATGCTAAACTTACCCTACATTGAATCAAGATAATTATTTTAAAAAAATTATCTCGATAACTCGAAAATTCTCACTTAAGCAGAAAATATATAAAAGTAATCTAAGAAAAATTCTTTAAAGAATTTTAACATCGGCTTAGAATAATTACCACGCTTCGGGAACCTGCAAGCAAGGAGGCACTGATCGAATTTATGATCAAAGCTTCGGTAGCTCCTCGGCACAACTAACATTGTCTTGGCCCAATTAACACTAAATTAATACGGAAAAAACGTGTGGCCCAAAATCCAAGCCCAAACTCACCAAGCCCATATGCTTTTCCGATTTTCTTTTCTTTTCCCTTTTTTAATTTGTGTTTCTTTTTCCTCCCTTTTTCCTCTTTCCTTTTTCTTCTCCTTTTCCCGATGAAATTGCAAATTTGGTCTCGTTAGATTGAAATGGTCGCAATTTTAGTCCCAAGAGGCGCAATTCCAGTCCTTAACTAATTTTTGTTGCGCAATTGGTCCCAAATCTAACTGACCATTAGGTCACCGTTAACTCTCAGGACTAAAATTGCAATTGTGGGACTAAATTTGCAATTTTTTCCTATTTGATATATATAAAATAACTTTTCATTTTATTTTTATTTCTTACAATTTTATTCACCTCTAGAGTTATATTTTTATTTTTAATCAACAACTATAATCATAATAAAATGAAATGATGATTTTTTAAATATATTTATTATTTAATTAAAAATATTTGAAATATATAAAACATTGTATTGAAATTAAAATTTTTAATATATTAATAATAATATAAATTTAAATTTATTTGAATTTATATATATCAAATATATTTAAGTTTATATTTTTTATATAAAAATATATAAATATTTTTGTTATATATCAAATATGAATTTAAAAAATATGATTTAATAAAAAATATTTTTGGCATATATCAACTATGAATTTAAGTTTATATTTGTGTTATATTAAAAATATATATAAATATGAATTTAAAAAATATATCAAATAATAAAATTGACCAGTCCGATCAACCAATTTAAAATTATATATCAAATATATCAAAAATAAAAATATATAAATATGAATTTAAAATTATATATCAAATATACACACACACACACACACACACACACACACATATATATATATACAATTGACCAATCTGATCAACCAATTCTGTCTGGTTCATTGAAAACCAGTTCTTTCAAATGAATCCAATCATTTGACCGATTCTAAAAATTAAAAATAATAGTAGTTGATTTTATTTTTATTTTTATTTTACGTTTTAAATTTTTATTAACCTCTAAAATTATATTTTTATTTTTTATCATCCAATATAATTATAATAATATTAAATAATTATTTTGTAAATATATTTATTATTTAATTAAAAATATTTTAAATACAGAATACATAATAATATAAATTCAAATATATTTAAATTTATATATATCAAATATATTTAAACTTATATTTTTGTTATATTCAAAAATATAAATATTTATTAACTTATTATTGACCAGTTCATTCAACTAATTCTAATTGGTTCATTAGAAATCAATCCGTTTAAAGGAATCAAACCGTTTAGTTGACCGATTCTCGATTCAACAACAAGTTTGGCCGAGTTTTCAAACCAATAGTAGTTGGTATTAATTTATTTATAAATTTTATTAACCTCTAGAATTCTATATTTGTAATAAAATTAAATAATTATTATTTTTTAAATTTATTTATTATTTAATAAAATTAATTTTAAATATAGAAAACATTGTATAGTAATTATTTTTTTCGCCTCAAAACTAAATTATTACTATCAAATATTGTTATATACTCACGAAATAAAAATTGCAACAAAAATTAGTAATAAAACTATTTTTTCAATATTTGGGACTAAATTTCCAACAAAACCATCTTATGGGACTATATTTGCAGTTTTTTCAATATTTTGGACTAATGACAAACGGTGACTTAGCGGTCAGTTAGATTTGGGACCAATTGCACAACAAAAATTAATTAAGGACTGAAATTGCGCCTCTTGAGATTAAAATTGCAACCGTGCCAATCTAACTGGACCAAATTTACAATTTCCTCCCTTTTTCCTATTTCCTCTTATCCTCCCCGTCATTCTTTCTTCCTCCCGCAGAACTCCCTTTTCTCCCAATCTTCCTAAATTCTGCCCGAATGAAGAAAAATTGCATCCCTTCCAAAAGTTCTGCTCACATTTCCCAATTGATCTTTCAATTTCAGCCTACACACACAACTCCACCAATTAAACATCTTAATCTCGCCTCTCAGGGATGGCTGACGGCGGGTCCAGTTGGTGGTCGATCGATGGAAACAACAGCCGAAGGACGGCAGCGATTCGTCGAAAATGGCAGTGGCGATTTGAATGGTGAGGAGCGGAGCGGCAACTGGAGACTAACCACTTTGACGGGGCTTAGCGAAAAAGTGGAGGGCGGCGGCCGGCGTCTGAACGAAACGGAAATCGCCGACTGGATGACAGGTGTTGACCGGGTGCCGGCAGTTCGCTTCACGTCAGCTGTTGCGTGGCTGCAGGGGCGAGGACGGGTGGTTGGTCATCGACGATAGGGGCTGCAGCAGATCGCAGCTTTCCTCGACGGGGCGCAGCTGAGACTTGCGGTGGCTCGAACGGCTCTCGGTGGCAGCGGCCTAAGAGAACGGCAGATGTTGGTTGTAAAAATGTTGTTACTCGGCCGTACGGGGTAACTCGAGTGTTCGGCGGGGTTCGAATTTGGCCAAATATGGCCCGACTTGCGTGATCTGATTTTTCTGTATTTGAAACTTAAATGTAAAACCAGGAAAATCTTTAGTCTCGCTGAGTTTGACAAACGGGGGTTGACAGGTGTGGTCCCACAGACGAAGCACACCAAATCGGGGAAGCCCAAATGAAGCCCAAGTGAGGTTTCATCCCAAAACCAATTGGTGGTAGGAGGAGTAGCTCACTAGATTTATAAGTTAGACATATTTTTCTTGTACAGATTATGTGGGACGACTCACAAGTGTATATTCTAACATCCTCTCATTTGTGAGTCATTCGGAAGCCCAAGCCCAACTGGACTGGGTGACGGGTACGTCATTGCACGGTCCCACGCAACTGGGCTGCGTGAACCGGCTCTGATACCATGACAAACGGGAGTTGACGGGTGCGGTCCTACGGACGAAGCGCACCAAATCAGGGAAGCCCAAATGAACCCCAAGTGACGTTCCATCCCAAAACCAATTGGTGGTAGGAGGAGTATCCCACTAGGCTTATAAGTTAGGCTTATTGTCCCTGTATAGACGATGTGGGACAACTCACAAGTGTATATTCTAACATCCCCCTTGATGAGTTGTCCCACATCGTCAAGGGCATGGCTGAGAGGGAAATTGTAGAAGGATGAATATTTTGGCTGAGTGATCTTTCTCTCCTCCAAGCCGTGAGAGAAGGTGACGAAAATTTCGTACGTTCTGCTCTGATTATTTGCCTTATACCACTTATGGTCTGCTATTGATGTAAATGCTTTTGCTGAAAAAGATTTGGATTTTCCTTGATATGGGAGATATGTGAACGAGGGGAGAGATCGTTTTTCTGAATTGTCCAAGGTTTTCTGCTCCGGAATCGGGAGATATGAGAGGGTTAGGGAGTGATTTAATTCCAAAATATCCTAAGGTTGAGTCAAAACCGTGTGAATTATGGAGAGTGAAAGGGGGATTTTGTTAGCATAAATCAAGAATCATGGGTATCAATATTTACCCAATATAGTGCCCATCAGAGAGGTGATTGGCGTGGCAAAAGAATGTGGAAATATTTGATTCGAAAACCCAAAAAAAAATATCTCCCAGCAATATAATTTTGACTTGGAGAATTACATCTAAGATTAAGCCAAAATAAAAGGGTGGATTATGTTGTGACCATTTTTGTTACGTTTTTCTGTACTAATTTGTCGTTCCTTTTTCCCCGTTTTAGGTCCTTTCGTGAGTTTTTAGTTCGTTTTGTGTTTTATTATGTGTTTTGTTACATTTTGGTTTTCTTTGTGTCTTTCGTGTGTTTGTCCGGTTTTTCTTCATTTTTAGTGTGATGGTTGGAAGTCTCGTGAGGAGTCGATTATAGACCGGGCAATCATGGTTGTGTAGATGGACTTGTTAGCTACACATAGAAAAAAGCGGAATTCGATTTCGAGTTCGGATGAATCCGATCGAGGCTGAAATGTGAAATCGAGCAAGTTACCGATCCTTTAAAGGTTGGAAATTCCACAAAATTTTTACTCTGAGCAAAAGTGTGCTTTGCAAGCATCATTTGATAGAGGGGTTCGTTAGGTACATGCAGGAAAAAACGGAACTCAATTCCGACTTGAAACGAGCCCGAATCGCGAAGACGCGCGAACCAGCCCAACCTTAACGGCGCTAGGAGGTACTAGCGGGTTTCTGCAGCTCATGTTTTGACCCTAGCGGCGCTAAGGCCACCTAGCGGCACTAGCTACCCCTTAGCGGCGCTAGGGCCTGGAAACCTCCACTACTTGCCCAATTTAAGGCACTATGGCCTATTTTGAGGGTACTTTCACTATGGTCGGGATTGTGGAGCATTTTACTCCTTGTTTTGTGATGATAATGCCTTAAACTATGTATGGATGTTGGATATGAAGTAGTATAAATGGGGGTGAAGTGCAAGACTCGAGAACACAACTCCATAGAGGGGTTCTCCCCTCTTCTTCTTGTCCATTTTTCTCTTTAGTTTTGTCTTGGTTTTTCATTTTGTGAGAAGGTACACTTGGAAGACTTGTTGCATTTTGGACTTGGCTTGCATTTTCTTCTTGACATTGGAGTTCACATTAATAGTAAGTTTTATTTTCCATTGTGTTTATGATGATTATGGCTATGTTAAATGTGAATGTTGATGTTGAGATTGAAATGAGTAGCTAATTCCTTAGCTAGGGTTACGTGATAATCATTCCGGTTTGTTCTCGTTTACGTGCATGACGATAGCTCAATCTTGACGAGTTGTTTTAATTATGAATTGATAAAATCATACTTGATAAATGGTTATAACCTAAGAGTGACACTTAGGTTAACTTAATGATATAATCAGAGAGTGACCCTTTGATTTGTGTGTGAATATTTATTTGTTGAGTTAGAGTTTGTTAATTCTACGAATTGCAACTTTTAGAACCGAAAGGGGAGGAGTCATAGAGATAATCGATTTCAAAACCGAGAGGGGAGAAATTGGTGGAATTTGGCTCGTTTAGAGTAGACATGTTCGGAGACGTATTGTCTATGTGTTAATTATTTCGTTAATTTGCTCATTTATGTTTATCAGCATGTTTGGAGACGTATTGAGGTTAAACCGCTAAATGAGTTAATTAGTCGAGCCTTTTAACCGAGTTATTGATTGCCGTTAAATGTGTGTAGAACCGGAAGAGATTATTCCTGATACTCTAGCTCGTTTATCTTTTTATCGTTCATATTTTTAGGTAGATTATCATCCTTTGTTATATCTTAGTTGATAATTTTCCAACCAAATCTTTTGATTAGTATGTTTAGGATTTATTTTGCTTTTATGTGTTATCAACACCAATTCTAAATTCCGAACAGTCTTCCTCGAGAGATCGACCCGGGAAACGAATCATTCGATTCGGTGCTCGGTAATAAAAATAATTTGCTACAACAAATTTGACGCCGTTGTCGGGGAAGGCAAGTAGGATATTTGGTTTTGGTATTGGTTTTATTTTCCGTGTTTCTCTTACTTTGGTGATATTTGCTTAATTTCAGTATTTTCTCTCGATTTTCTTATTTTCCATTTCTCTAGTTTTTGGTATATTTTTGAAAAATTGTAAAAAAAAAAATTAGATATATATATATATATATATATATATATTTCGTGGCTACGCGTGGTTGTTCTGTTCTTGTGTGCAGGGATTTTGAACAGAAGAATCACTAAACTCGAGCAACATGTTCCCCTCCTCACGAACCTTTCACTGGAACAATGGGCCGAGCTACGGCTCGTGGGAGTATGGCCAGGCATGTGCCTTCCCGTACGAGTATCCCCGTGGTATCCGTTACCTTTCGAGCAATCATATGAGTTCCCCGTAGACTCCTCAGATAACAATGCTAAGCTCGATTTGGTTTTCGATTTTATGACCTCCCAAGCAGCCCGAACAAAAAATCTTGAGGCCGAAGTCGAGAACCTAGCAGAACGTATTTGAGTCTTAGAGGATCGAGTTTACAATTCTTCCCCCGATTCCTTCATAGTTAATGAACATCGGGGGAACACTTTGACGGATGATGAAAAATTCGATCTCATTCTTGCTCGTATGTCAGCCCAAACAACTCGACTAGAGAAGATAGAGGTTGTATGCACTCGGTTGGTGGTGCAGCTTGACGGTATAATAGAACGCACTCAATCCGTCGAGCCACAAGTCAATGAGCCCATTAGCAATGTCTATCAGATTCACGAGGGCAAGACTGAAGACGAGGAAGATGCGCTCCCAGAGATCGAGGGTGATATCGTGATGGAGGAAACTCCTGTGCCCGAATTCGAGAGTCCCTCACTTGAGCCATCCCTCCGCACCGTCGAGAAGACCCCATTTTGCTCGACATGCTCCACGGACACTCTCGTATTCCGAGAGGTTGACTGTGGAGTATTGACGAGAAGAACTCTGGGTCGTTTCGCTACCATCCTTGGTGCTTATGCTCGGTTCCACAAGAACATTGCCACCCGAGCCCACCAGGTCCGCGGTCATGCCACCCTTCCCATGCTGCTGCTTCTCGAGAATACGAAGGCATGGCATGATCGTCACTTCTTTTTGTATCCTGGTTGATTTGTACAGGTTTCGTCAAGCTAATGACGTTAAACAAGCGCTTCTTGGGAGGCAACCCAAGTGATTTACTGCTTTCTGGTGTGTTTCGTTTATGCTTTTTAGTTTATTTTTATTTTTAAATAATGGGAGGTTCGGAGTTTTGTTATTTTCTTGCCAGGGATGAGCTTGTAGTATGGAGATTAAGCTACGCGAAAACGACCATAGTCCCGAGTTAATCATGGGCGAAAGAATTGCACGTGAACGCTTATCCTCATCGACGCACCTTCGGTTTGCACACTCTTTTCTTTTTCTTGTTTGAATTCCCAGTTTTTGTTCTTATTTCATTTATGTGTTGATGCAATGGGGACATTGCATTATTTTAAGTGTGGGGGAGTTGACGACTCCGCTGTGGATTTTTGCATGTTTATGTGGTAGGTCGTTGTGTTGTCGAGCATGTGGTATTGGTGAATTATATGATTTGTTGATAATTGTTTGATGAAATTGGTTAGTTGTGATGACGGACGTACTTACCATTGCCTCGATATTTCACTTAATTGCTTTTAGTGACATTTATTTACCTTGTGAGGTTTTGATCCTTACTTTTCTTTCTTGAGAGATATTGGTCGTATTCTCGAATGATTAGAACTTGCCTTGAGTCTATTTGAAAAGAATCGGTTAGAGTTTGAAATTACAAAAATGATTGAGGCGTTTTGTTTGTTAGCTCGTTTTGCCTTGTTCTTTGGTCCGAAAAATTATATTCCCTAGTAACCCGTTTGAGCCTTTAGCCTTTTCTTA